TGATCAAAATATTCATTTCATCCCTGAATTACCTAGATTTTGAAAAAACCTTTCTCTGGTTCACTTATCTGCAAAGTGCTCATTGTCAAACCTCTAGTGAAGTTTGTGAGATCTTCAGCTGAGAGGAGGAAAAAGTAGTTTGCATCTCCATTGGTACAGGTGTCGATAGAGGCTGACAGAGCTTTTGCCTTTTTCAGACAATCGCGCAGTTTCTTGATTCTTTGGCAGCTTGAAAGGAGGTCTGTGACCTACATCCGTGCAGGTCTCACACACAGGTACCTATACATATTTTCTCAAGCCTATGCAGAGCCAAGAATTCCTTACCCTTTACATCCCAAGGTGAGTATTCTAGTTACTGAGTACAGCAACCCCCCCTCTCTTTGCAATCAAGGAACCGTTTTCAGTGGCCATTTCTCTCTAACGGTTAGGATTTTTTGAAACTGCTGTCGTGCCACCAAACCTGCTTGGGATCTCCCCCAGCTTTTGACTGTCCTCGGATTTAAAAAGCACACACTCCCATCTTTCAACAGCAAAACCACAAAATACTCCTGACCCACAGCGTAACCTTAAGGATGGGCACCCCCACCTCCCCATTCTGAGGGAGAGCCATCGAGCATCCTCAGCCCACCCATCGGATATGAGTATAGCAGCACAGACACGGCAATGCCGAGAGTGGGAACAGCAGCCCCGCTGATGGCATTCGTGCAGCAGAAGACACACAGAGAGGGACAAGTTGGGTCTGATTGTTTCTCAGTGTTTGCAGGTGTGTCTGAGTGTTTGCAGGTGTGTCTCATTGTGTCTGAGTGTGTGCAGGTGCGTCTGAGTGTGCTTGAGTCTGTATGAGTGTGTCTGAGTGTCTTAGTGCGTCTCAGTGTGTAAGAGTGTGCATTATTGTGTGAGAGAGTGTCTGAGTGTGTCTGAGTGTGTCTAGATGTCTCTGAGTGTGTCTGAGCGTGTCCGAGCGTATCTGAGTGTAAGCGAATGTGTCTAGGTGTGTGCGAGTATGTCTGAGTGTGTCTGAGCGTGTCTGAGTGTGCCTGAGTGTGCCTGACTGTGTCTGAGCGTGTCTGAGCGTGTCTGAGTGTGTCTGAGTGTGTCTGAGAGTGTGTGAGTGTTTCTGAGTGTGTGAGAGTGTGTCTGAATATGTGCGAATGTTTCTGAGTGTGTCTGGATGTGTGGGAGTGTACTTGAGTGTTTCTGAGTGTGTCTGAGTGTGGCTGAGCGTGTCTGGGTGTGTGGGACTGTGCTTGAGTGTGTCTGAGTGTGATTAAGTGTGTCTGGCTGTGTGCGAGTGTGTCTGAGCGTGTCTGAGCGTATCTGAGTGTGAGCGAATGTGTCTGGGTGTGTGCGAGTGTGTCTGAGTGTGTCTGAGTGTGTCTGAGTGTGTGGGGGTGTGGGACTGTGCTTGAGTGTGTCTGGGTGTGTTTAAGTCTGTCTGGCTGTGTGCGAGTTTGTCTGAGCGTGTCTGAGCGTATCTGAGTGTGAGCGAATGTGTCTGGGTGTGTGTGAGTGTGTCTGAGCGTGTCTGAGCGTGTCCGAGTGTGCCTGAGTGTGCCTGAGTGTGTCTGAGTGTTTCTGAGTGTGTCTTAGTGAGTCTGAGCATGTCTGAGTGTGTGTGAGTGTGTCTGAGTGTGTGTGAGTGTGTCTAAGTGTGACTGAGTATTTCTGAGTGTGTTTGAGTGTGCCTGAGTGTGTCTGTGTGTGTGAGTGTGTGTGAGTGTTTCTGAGCATGTCTGAGTGTGTGTGATTGTGTCTGAGTGTGTCTGAGTGTGTCTGAGAGTGTGTGATTGTGTCTGAGTGCGCCTGAGTGTTTCTGAGCGTATCGGAGTGTGAGCGAATGTGTCTGGGTGTTTGCGAGTGTCTCTAAGTGTGTCTGAGTGTGCGAGTGTGTTTGTAGTTGTGTCTGAGCGTGTGCGAGTGTGTCTGGGTGTTTCTGACTGTGTCTGAGTGCATATGAGTGTGTGTGAGTGTGTGCAAGTGTGTCTGAGTGTGTGTGGGTTTGCCTGAGTGTGTCTGAGTGTGTCGGAGTGTATCTGAGTGTGTCTGAGCGTGTGCGAGTGTGTCTGAGAGTTTCTGAGTGTGTCTGAGCGTATCTTAATGTGTCTGAGTGTACCTGAGTCTGTGTGAGTCTGTGTGAGTGTGTGCGAGTGTGTCTGAGTGTGTGAGAGCGTGCCTGAGTGTGTGTGAATGTGTCTGAATGTGTCTGGGTGTGTGCGAGTGTGCCTGAGCATGTATTTATTCTGGATCCCTTTCCCCACCCACAGCGTGGGGGAGCCCAGTTCTAGTTCCATCTCCATCTGATGAACCATTCCGACGTCTAGAGGGGATGGGGAAAGGGAACTCCAGCAACAGGGTTTTTCAGGCCCCCAGCCTGGAGGGGAGAGGTGCCCTCCCCTCCCCCCAGCACCCACGTGGCCCCATGGCTGGTACAGAGACAGCACACCAGCGTGGAGAGGAGGCAAGAGAGAGTTTATTGTTGGGGATGTTACATTTATAGGGTTTAGGAGGATTCACAGAGTAACCAATTAGAAGTCTCAAGGGGTTTACAGGAACACCCAATCACAGGATGGGGTAACAAGGTCCAATGGGAAAAACCTCATGACACCTTTCCCAGGACATTCCTGCATGGGAGATAACCTCTCCTGGGGGGTGTTGGGAAGAAGAAACACGTGTTTGCAAAGAGACCACAAAAGGCCATTTTAAGACATGTTTAAACAAGTTTCTCATCAGATTTAGTGCTACAATTTATGGGTCTGATTGTTTGTCAGTGTCTGCAGGTGTGTCTGAGCATGTGTGAGTGCATTTGATTGTGCCTGAGCGTGTATTTAAAGGTCTGAGTGTGTCTGAGTGTTTGGAGTCGTGTGTGAGTGTGTCTGAGCATGTGTGAGTGTATCTGAGCCTGTCTTGTTTTGTCTGAGTGTATGTGAGCATGTTTGAATGTGTTTGAGTGTGTCTGCGAGTGTCTGAGTGTTTCTGAGTGTATCTGGGTGTGTCTGAGTGTGTCTGAGTGCGTGTGAGCATGTATGAGTGTGTCTGAGTGTTTGCAGGTGTGTCTGAGTGTGCCTGAGTATGCCAGAGTGTGTGTGAGTGCGCGTGAGCATGTATGAGTTTGTCTAGCTGTGTGCCATTGAGTCTGAGTGTGTGCGAATGTGTCCGAGTGTGTCTGTGTGTTTGCAAGTGTTTCTGTGTGTGACTGACCATGCCTGAGCATGTAATTATTTGTCTGAGCGTGTCGGAGTGTGTTTGAGTGTGTGTGGGTGCGTCTGAGTGTGCTTGAGCATGTCTGAGTGTGTCTGAGTCTGTCTTAGTGTGTTTGAGTGTGTGCAAGTGTGTCTGGCTGTGTGAGAATGTGTCTGAATGTGTGAGAGTGTGTCTGAGTGTGTCTGAGTGTGTGTGAGTTTGTCTGAGTGTATGAGTGTGTCTGAGTCTGTCTTAGTGTGTTTGAGTGTGTGCGAGTGTGTCTGAGTGTGTGCAAATATGTCTGAGTGTGTCTGTGTGTGTGCAAGCATTTCTGTGTGTGACTGAGCGTGCCTGAGCATGTATTTATGTGTCTGAGCGTGTTGGAGTGTGTGTGAGTGTGTGCGGGAGCGTCTGAGTGTGCTTGAGTTTGCATGAGTATGTCTGAGTGTTTCTTAGTGTGTGCGAGTTTGTCTGAGTGTATCAGTGTGTCTGAGTGTGTCTGAGTGTTTGCAGGTGTGTCTGAGTGGGTCTGAGTGTTTGCACTTCTGTCTCCGTGTGTCTGAGCATGTGTGAGTGTATCTGAGCCTGTCTTATTTTGTCTGAGTGTGTGCGAGCATGTTTGAGCATGTTTGAGTGTGTCTGTGCGTCTGAGTGTGTCTGAGTGTATCTGGGTGTGTCTGAGTGTGTCTGAGTGCGTGTCCCTTAAACCTCCTTATCTGGCAGTGGTGCTCCCTGTTTTCCATTCCTGGGCACCGAGACCCCCCTGAACACCCACTCCTGGGCACAGGGACCCCCCTGAACACCCATTTCCGGGCACGGGAATCCCGCTCAGCCTCAATTCACAGGTGCGGCTACCCCTCTGGAGCCCAGTTCCTGAGTACTGGGACCGCCTTGAACCCCCATTCCTGAGACTTGGAACCCCACTGAACATCCATTTCTGGTCAGGGATCCCCCTGAACCTCCATTTCCAGGCACGGGGATCGCCCTGCACCCCCTGATCCAGCACTGGGACCCCCCTGGAGCCCCATTCCTGGGCACTGGGACACCCCTGAACCTCCATCCCTGGCTCCAGGACCCAACTGAATCCCCTTATCCTTCACCAACACCCCCCTGCACCCCCTTTCCTGGCCATCCTGCCTCTCCCAGACCCCAGACCCTTGTTTTCCTTGACCCTGAGACCTCCTGGACTCCCATTCTGGCATTTCCCAGCCCCTAGAGCCCCCTTTCCTCAACACTGACAACCCCTGGCACCTCCTTTCCTGGGCACAGGGATGCCCTAGACTCCCCATCCCACCTCTCCCAACCCCTGCACCCCCCTTTCCTTGACCCTGGGACCCCCTGAACCTCCATTCCTGGGCTCTGTGACCCTCCTGAACCCCTTATCCAGAACTGAGACCCTCACTGCAGCCTATTTCTCAGCCATCCCGCCTCTCCCAACTCCCAGATGCCCCCTTTTCCTTGATCCTGGCACCCCCTGGATCCCCATTCCTGGATATCTCACACCTCCCCACCCCGTGACCCCCCTTTCCTCAACCCTGGGGACCTCTGGGCCCCCTTTCCTGGGCAGAGGGACCCCCTGGACCCCCCAATTCCACCTCTCCCAATCCCTGTATCCCCCTTTTCCCTGACGCTGGGACCTCCTTTAACCCTGAATCCTATGCAATGGGACCCCTGGCACCCCCTACCCCAGCACTGACACCCCCTGCACCAACTTCCCTGGGATTCCCAAACCCCCTTTCTCAGCTCTCCCAGCTCTCCCAGTTCCCCCTTTCCTTGACCCATGTCCCCCCTAAACCCCCCAAATCTCCATGTCCCCCCAGTTCTCCACTCCCTGCGTTACCTGGATGTGACGGTGTCAGAACCCAGCCCGGGGATCCCTCAATACCTGTCCATGGAATATGTGGATGGGATCCCCATCTGCCGCTACGACAGCGAGCGGGGCCAGGTGGAGCCGCTGACGCTGTGGATGGCGGCCGGAACAAAGCCAGGATATTGGGACGGACAGACCCAGATCGCTGAGGGGAACCAGCTCACTGATGCCGCCAGCCTGGAGACAGTGGGGGCCGGTAAAACTGGAGTGGGGGTGAGTGGGGGGAGCCAGGGAATGGGGGATGTGTGGGAATGGGATGGGATCTGTGGGGCTGAGATGGGATCTGTGAGGCTGGGATGGGATCCATGGGACTCCAAGGGGCTGGGATGTGGATCCAAGGTGCTCCAAGGGCTGGGATGAGGCTCTGTGTGTCTGTATTGGACTCTGGGGCTCCATAGGGCTGGAATGGGATTCCATGGGGCTGGGACACAACTCCAAGTGTCTCCATGGATCTGATCCCACCCCCCAGGTCTCCACATAAGGCAGCAGGGTTATGGCTGTGACCTCCTGTCCGACGGGAGCATCTGTGGATCCCATCGGGAAGCCTACAATGGGCGGGATTTCATCTCCTTTGAGCTGGGATCCAGGAGCTTTGTGGTGGCCGATGGAGCTGCCCGGATCACCAAGAGGAAATGGGAACACAGTGGGGTCATGGTGGAGAGAAAGACACATTACCTGGAGAACATCTGTCCGGAAGCGCTCCAGAAATTCGTCGGATACGGGCGGGAGGTGCTGGAGCACAAAGGTGAGGGAGACAGAATTCCCATGAAAATGTGGGATTTGGGAATGTGGGATTTGGAACTGAGGGTGGAACTGAGGAACACGGGAATTCCCATGGGAATTCTGTGAATGAATCTGAGTCATCCAACTCCCATGGGAATTCCATGCATGAATCCCACTGTTGTCCCATTCCAATGGGAATTCTGTGGATGGATCTCACTCCAATCCCATTCCCATGGGAATTCCATGGATGGATCTCACCGTTATCCCATTCCGGATCCCCCCGATGTCCATGTGTCTGGGAAAGAGGAACACGGGATCCTGATGTTGTCCTGCCACGTGTCGGTGGGTACCTGTCGAAAGGTCTCGGTTGGAAGGGGGAAGAACGACACACAGGACACATGAGGGTAGTGAGACAAAGAGATGTCTGCCTGCTCAGCAGAGCAGGCAGCAGTTTTATTAGGTTCTCCCACTTCTACTTTCCCACACGCACAACACAAACATATTTCCACAAAAACACTGACGAATGCGCACCTGCACTTCAACCACACAGCTCAAGGCTGTGTCCATGGGAACTATCTAGTTAGCTTCACTGCTCCCATGGAAAACGGCCCAACACTTTGTAACATTCCAAACCCCTCAAACGTCAGTTCTGGGGGTGTGACTTCACCCCACAGCCACACGTACGGATTCTACCCCGGGATGATTGGGATCAACTGCATGAAGGGGGATGAAATGCGGGATCAGGAGACGGAGTGGGGCGGGATCGTTCCCAACAGCGACGGCACCTTCCACAGCTGGGCCAGGATCGAGGCGCTGCCGGGGGAGCGGGAGCAGTACCGGTGCCGGGTGGAGCACGCCGGAATGCTGGAGCCCGGGATCTTCGCCTGGGGTGAGGCTGGGAACGGGCAATGTGGGAATTGGGCATTTGGGAAGGAGGAATTTGGGAGTGTGGGACAGCGGGATGGGGGTAACCCTCCCCCTCCTCACATTCCTGCCCCTCCCAGAGCTGGAATCCGTCTGGAATTCCACCCTGGTGTTCGTGGCTGTGTCTGTCATCGCTGCCATCATCATCATCAGCCTCATGGGAGTCGGTGTCTGGAAGCTCCGATCCGGTAACTCCCGGGATGGGGGTTGGGAAGGGGCACGGATCTGCCCGGCAGCATTCCGGGGATCCTGTGTCACGGGTGCTGATCCCGCTTTATTTCCATAGGGAAGAGGGAAGGGAATGGATACGACCCCGCGCCCACCAGTGAGTCCCAGCAGCGTGTGTGGATCCAGATCCTCTGTGCAGGGATCCCAGGATGGATGCTGGGATTCCAGAGGGGAATTGGAGTCTAATGGCTGGAGTGGGATTGGAAGGGGATTCCAGCTCAGGGCAGGATTCCAGAGTGGGCTCAGGTGGAATTGTGGACTGGGATCAGGGCTGGATTCTGGAGTGGGATAGGAGTGGGATGGACAGAGAAGGATCAGGAGGGAATCCAGAGTAGTTCCTACTCTCCATGGGCTCCACAGCCAGATCCATCCCCTGGGATGGGAACAGGGACATTGTAACTCCTTTCCCTGCTCTCATCCCGGGCAGGAATCATGGCCTGAACAATCCTGGAGCTGGATCCACCCCTTCCCTCTCCCTGCGGAAAGGCAGGAGCTGCTGGCAGAGCTCATCCCTCTGCTCCCACCCACCCAGCCCCCCCTGTGGCTCTTCCCGATGGATCAACTTCCTGCTTTTTCCTGTGTGAAACCCAGGACCACAATTATTCCTGAGGCTTTAATTTTGGTGTGAAAATCTCCTGGTTTGGGCAATAAATCCTGGCTCCCTCCGGCATCTGGCAGTTCCTCTGTGGGAACCAGGACTGGAAATGGGGACAGGGGGCTGGGATGGGGATGTTGGGGACAGGTCTGGGGACACTGGGAGCAGGGCTGGGGACACCAGGTATGGGAATGGCAACATCAGGAATGGGAATAGGAACACTGGGAATGGGAATGGGGAGAGGGATGGGGACACTGGGGACACCAAGAATGGGTATGGGAACAGGGATGGCAACAGCAGGAATGGGGACAGGGATGGGATGTCAGAGACTGAAATGGTCAATGATTTATGCATTCTGGGATTGCCAGGAGACTTTTGCCGGCTTTTGCAGGACTTTGGCATTATCCCTCTGATGGGCAGCTGGGCCCATCTCCCCCTCCAGTGCTGCTGAAGGTGTCAAGCCCTGGAAAGGAGAGAAGAGTCGAGTTTACCAGGCCCCTCACGGAACTCTGCGCTGGGCTGTCCGAGGTGTTGGGGGTTCATGGCATGGTCCATCAAAGCCCATCCCCCCTCTGCCAATCTTGGAAGGTGGGAAAAAGCCTTTTCCCTGCCCCTCACAGGAACTCTGTGCAGGCCTGGGAGACGTTGGGGGTTCGTGGCATGGCCCGGGACACTGTCCATGGATATAATAACTCAAAATTTCTTGGAGTGTGGGGGCTTCCCTCCCTCACCCCCAATGGATCAAGGCCACCACTTTAACTGACAGACATGGAAGCTGCAACTACCAAGTTCCATCTCTGGACCCCGTGGGTGGTGACTATAGACATCTGTCCACTCTCAGCTTTTCTTTCCCTTCCTCTCCCTTTCCCTTCTCCTGTCTTTCCTTTCTCTCCCTTATGCATTTTCCCCAAAGGTTCTCTTTATGCCATATTACTGTAGATGAGAGATACAGATGATAACACCCAAAATGGCAACGTACCTGTTTACCTTTGAAACAAAATTGTTCTAAAATAAACCCTACATATGTAAGTTTTCAAACACTGATTATTCAGTGTCGTTTCACTCTAACCCACCCGAAGGGATTTATTAATAAGAACCTGGGTTACCCTCCCCCTTTTCTGGGGTGGGTTGTAACATTTTTGGCATCAGGGACAAGGATCCTTTGGATGTGGTGGAGTAATCGGTGTAGTCCAAAACTGATGCCGAGGGCGAGTCAAATGGTGACCGTCCCCTCATTGTGAAATTATAGTGATAATTTTTCTCCTCTTGATGTGTCCCGGGCACATCAGACTTGTTGAAAGGTTTCCTGGTGTAGGTTGGACCTGTTGAAAGGTTCTCTGGTACCTGGACCTGTTGAAAGGTTTTCCAGGAGAGAGTCAAGCCAACCCTCAGAGGGTTAAGGGGGAGAAAGACATTAACCTGAGCTGGGTTAATGACTGAGTCAAAAGGGATGACACCCCAGGGTTTTTTAGGTGGGGATTATTCCCTCCTGATAGTTATCCTTGGTTTAGAACTGTTT